CAGAATATATTTAACACAACTGTGTCTATTCTGGACAAAGTACAAAAGATGATGATGGTAAATCTTTGTGTAGAGAGTAAATTCTTCAGAGCGCTGTGGCCTCTACAGGTGCGGGTCTTTCTCCTGTGCAGTACATGGAGGAACTGGAGAGCCACTCTCTGTAGGAGGCAGTCAGGAGGGGTTCCTGAAGGTGGAGGGGAACAGCTCAGAGAACACACTTGTAACTCCTTCCCATGTGCCCTGGTGCCCTGCCGTAAGCGCTGCAAAGCTATGCTTTTGCCACCAGTGCTTCTCAAACCGTAATGTACACACAACTCCCTGTTGCTGTTGTTGTTAAGTGCTGTTGAGTAGGCTCTGATTCACAGCGACCCTGTATAAGGTTTCCAAGGAGCAGCTGGTGAGCTTGAACTGTCGACCTTGCAGTTCAAACCAACCTTGCAATTCAGTGCATTAACCCTCAACACCACACCAGGAGTCCATACAACTCCCTGTAGATGCTGTTCAAATCCAGAGGCCTGAGAATCTGCATTTCTGACAAGTTCACAGATGATACTGAGGCTGCTTCTCTGGGGAACCACATGGCTAGACAATGTGTTCCAAGTTCCAGAAACCAAAGGCTAATTAATGCAAAAGCATTAATACTAGGATTTCTTAAGGTGAAAGCTCATTTTCCTCTGTTCATGGTATAAACTTGAGTAGTTAAGCTGAATGTTTGACTTTCTGACTTGATAAATGAGCAATGTGAGGCAAGCAATTTGGTACCAGTGTTTATAACTTTGGGGATCGTTGTAAAAATGAGTGGCATCTGAATGTATGAGTCAGAATCCAAAGGCAAGGTAACAGGAGGCAGCTCAAATTAGCTTTGGCAGCAGTCGGCACAAGAAATAGCTTCAGATAAAGAAGAAATAATCGTGGGGGAAATAGGCTGTGGGTTGATAGAGGTATCTGAAGGTGCAAGTTGAATGGGATCACTATCATTCTCAAAACAGTTGAAGCCACAGGATCTAGTGTAAGGATAAGGCTGAGAATGCCGATTGTTTTGCTGCCCAAAATACAGTTCCTCATTCTAACAGAGTGATTGGGAATGGACGGTGTCTCAAGAACCAATTGTTCCAAGCTGATGATTCTAGCATGCGATAAGTAATGCTTTTAGTATCCTGCTAGATTTTAAGGGTTCCTTTTTGAATGAGATGGAAAGGGTTGTGATGGCTAGGGAAATTAAGACCAACATTCCAAAGTCTTCTTGACACATGATTTGGACTTTGGAAAGTGTGTTTTCTGACAGTGAGTGAGAATTTTTTTTTTTCCCCCCACAAACTTTCCCTGAAATTCTACCAATCCTGGGAACTTTCTTACTGATTTAATAATATTGGACATTGTCCAAATCCTCATAGCTACACTTTTGTTTTTCCCACCTATGGAATTTCAATCTGGAGAATCACATGGGCAATAGAAAAGAGAAGGTTAAAATGACTTTGATTTTGCAGAATTTATTTGCAGTTTGACTATTATAGCCAATGGCTGTCAAGTTAATTGCGACTCATGGCAACCCCATATGTTGCAGAACTGTACCCCATAGAGTTTTGTTTCTTTTGGAAACAAATTGCCAGGTCTTTCTTCCAAGGCACCTCTGGGTGGGTTCAAACTACCAATCTTTCTGTTAGTAGGCAAGCACTTAGCCATTTGTGCCACCAAGGAATCTCCTGAAAACTAAGTTTATGTGTGCCATTGAGTCAATTCCAACTCACAACCCGATAAGACAGAGAACTGCCCCATAGAGTTTCCTAGAGTTATCTTTATGGGGACAGCTCACTAGATCTTTTCTCTCTTGGAGTGAATGGTGGGTTCACACTGCTTATCTTTCTGTTAGCAGTCAAGTGCTTACCCACTGTTCCACCAGGACTCTTCCTTGAAGCTTATAGCCAACATGAAATTTTAAGAAAGAGGTTTCCAGGTTAAAATGACATATGAAAACATTGTTAATTAACTTCTTATTAAATTTCAGGCTAAAATGAAATAATATTAAGCTATTTTACAGTGCTAAGCATTCCCATATATATGTGGCCTTGGAAAATATACCACTTATGTATTATTCTTTATACATATATGAAGACCTATTCAGTTGACTAAGAGATGAATCAGAATAAAAGGACTTCAACTGGAAAAATCATGTAAAATGACCAAAATAGGTATCCAAATAATTGTAAATAAGATTACTAAGAGGAAGCAAATGTCCAAACAGATGGTGTGATAGAAGTAGTTCCCATCTTATTTTAGGTGATAATTTCATGGGCATGATACTTTTTCCAAACTAAACATGTAAGACCTGTGAATTTTATTACATGTAGCTTATACCTCAATAAAAACAAAATTACAGAAAGGATCTATAGCAATCGGGAAACTTGGCCTGGTAAAACACAAAAAAGATGAGGGTAAACCCAGTAGAGGAATCCTGTGTGGCACTGTGGGTTAATGCGTTGGACTGCAAAGTCGGTTTGATCTGCAAGCTCGGTGGTTCAAGCTCACCATCCACTCCTCAGAAACCCTAAACAGGTCGTAACTGACTCAACGGCACTTAACAACAACAAACCTAGTGGAAGTTAGTGACTCTGCCTGATACCCAAAAGGTTAATTGGGAGCAGAATATAAAACCCCAAGTTTATTCATGTTTTGTTTTTTGTTTTTTATAAGGAATTATACTACCAGTGAATCACCTTGATAAATCACATTTGTTAATCCACATTTACTAGAAATATGACAGTGAATCAAGAACAGATTAAAAAAAAGAAAAGAAAAGAGTAGAAAATGTAGAATATTTCTAATAACCTTACGAGGAAGAAGGCTACTAGAAGTCAGAAACCCATTACAAGAAAATCAGAGGGTTAAATAAATAGAAGAACACTTTAGAGTCAATTTCTAAAGAGAAACTGACTCGGCATAAACAAAAGTTGGCAAATAGATGGGAATCAAATGACGTGCATTTATAGAAACATGACTTGACCATCACTCTAGATGAAGAGGGGGTCCTGGTTTAGGTAAATACACTCGACTGCAAGGTCGGTTTGAACTACACGGTCGGCAGTTCAAATCTACCAGCTGCTTCTTGGACACCCTATACAATGTCGCTATCTGTCGGAACTGACTTGATGGTACTTAACAACAACAACTAGATGAAGACAGTGGAGGCAGGCCAATTAGAACATTCCTCAGGGATCTATCAAGACTACGTAATTTTACCTTGATTACTGGGATCCCGGAATATGACCATAATCCTCCTTGTTCAAGTTCAGAGACAGGGAATCATCCTTGACTCTTGCCTCTCCTTGCTCCCCAAAACCATTCGGTATCAACTCTTATCCATCCTATCTCAAAAATGCATCTTAAAACAATCTACCTTTCTTCATGACCCTCATCCAACTTGCCATCGTATCTCACCTGGATTCATATTGCCTCCTTTCTTCATATATTGTTCTCCACTAAGCTCTTCCAATCCATTCACCCAACAGCCACCAGAGTAATCTTTGTAAATGCAAACTGAGTTACAAACAACGGTCTTCCTCATTATACCTTTGATGCCTTCTCATAACACCTGATTGTTGTTGCTAAGTGCCATAGATTCTGTTCTGTCTGCATAGAGTTTGTGAGGAGCTGCCAGTGGGTTTGAACCACCAACCTTACGCTTAGCAGTCCCGTGTTTATCCTACAGTGCCACACCAAGACTCTGTGGTTGTTGTTGCTAAGTGCCATGGAGCTGGTTCCCACTCATAGCGACCCTGTAAAGGGTTTCCAAGGAGCAGCTGGTAATTTTGAACCACCAACCTTGTGATTCATATAGACCTTGCAGTCCAGTGTTTATCGTACCGTGCCATACCAGGACTCCAGGACTCCATTGTTGTTGTTAAGTGCTGTCGAGTCAGTTTCTACTCATAGTGACCCTGTATAGGGTTTCTGAGGAGTGGTTGGTGAGTTGTTTGAACAGCCTACCTTATGGGTCAAACCTACCTTGCAGTCCAGTGCATTATCCCACAGCACCACACCAGAACTCTCTAGGACTCTGTTAGCTGCCCTAAGGGATATGGTATCTACCTGTTTTTCCAGATGTGAACAAAAGGAGGCGAAGGACCCATTTTGTACTCTTGTTGTTGTCAAGTGCTGTCAAGTCAGTTCTGACACATAGCAACCCTGTATAGGGTTTCCAAGGAGCGGCTAGTGAGCTTGAACTGCTGACCTTGTAGTTCAAACTGACCTTGTGATCCAGTGGTTTATCCAGCAGCACCATACCAGGATTTCCCATTCTGTCTTATTCACCATTATCCTAATAGCTAATAATGTGGCACATCATAGGGACTCAAGATAGGCTTATTAGATAAATGAATGAATGAATGCTAGTTTCTTAAATCATGGGCTAAATTGTGCTAATAATTGTTTCTTCAGGTAAATGGTCTTGCCAGAAAATCAGAGATTTCTTCTAACCAAAGCCTGGGATATGTTAATAAAAAAATATATACCCTTTCTATTGTAAATGAAAAGACCAGAAAGGAAATGCCGGGCATGTTGTATTTGGAAATGCAATATACAGAGTGTGCAATATGTAAGCAAAAGGAAGAAATGATAAAAGAAGGTGGATTTGTGTCTGGATAAGGAAAGAGAGAGTATACGAAAACTGAACCATGGTGGAAGGAAAGATAAGAAAAATGTAAAATTCACACATTTCTCTCTTTCTCTTTAAGTCTCTCATTCTCCACTTGGATTTCCCTTTATCTCTAGCTTTCTGTGCATGGACACATATGCACACACACACACACACACACACACATTCTATTATCTCTTTGTCTCTTTCTAGCTCTCTCATTCTCCATTTGGATTTCTCTTTCAGTTTGATCGCTCCGTTTCTTTTGGGTTTTTTTCTACTTGAACCCTAAAAGTAATTCTTGACTCAGAAAAACAAACAGTCCCTGGGCACCCTCAGAAAGCCAGGACGCAGACACCAGTTTCTCTACCTGTTTCCCTCAAGATCACACACGTAGTTCACTACCGGAGACCAGTCGAAGGCCCCTGGCTCCTTCTTCAGCCACCTCTCCAACTCCTTCAGGTTCTGGTCCGTGTAGTCGCTGGCGATAATCTCTTTGAAGGATTCACAAGCAGAGAGGAGCTGGTAGATGGTGGGGCCAGAGCCAATATCAATCAGGAGGTCTCCCTTCACACCATCTGCCCCGGAGGAGAGAAGAGGAAAGGAGTTAGGTGTCTTATAACCCGGGACAGAGTTGAATTTACCACCTCTCTACTCACTTCAGTGGAGTCCTGGTGTGGGTCAATGCGCTGCACTACAAAGTCAGTTTGCACCTCAGGTTTGGCAGTTCAAGCTCACCAGCCAGCCGCTCCTCAGAAATCCTGTGTAGGGTTGCTATGGGTCGGAACTGACTCAACAACACTTAACAACAACAACTCACTCCTCACCTAAAGTGTTTTTAAAACGTCTTTTCATTTTCCATTCTCCAATTCAGCATTGCTGGCATATATTTTAAGGCTCTAGAAGAAACAGGGTATGAAGGGAAGAACTCCATCTGGAATACAGACCCTTGGCTCAGAAAGTCTGCTAAACAGGATATTAAAACGATTAAGCGCCATTTGGGGGGAAAGTTAAATTTTTTTTTTTTTAAATACTATCCGATGTCTTTCTCCCAAAAGCACTCATGCCTTTATATAGTGTGCGTGTGTCTTTTATTTTCTTGCATATGCACAATATTGCTTTGAGCTGGGAACAGAATAAGTATTAGGGTCTTCATTTCTTAAGTAGCCCATTGAGATTCAATGACTTATCCTAGTCACCTAGCAAATCATTGTAGAAACAGGGTCAGAACTCAGGCCCTCTTGCATGACCCTTTGACATAACCAAATGAGAAAATATCTGTAAAAAGTGCTTTGTAAACTGTAAAATATTGACATCAATGTTAGTTTTTAGTTAAGTTAAATAAATAGAGGATGCCCAAGGGCATGTCAAATAATGATAACTGAACAGATGAAACCATCATCCCCTGAGATTCTGGCTATAGGACTCACATCGTAGGGGAAGACAGACAATACACAGACTTACCCACACAGAATATCTTGAAAAGATTTTCCAGAAGATGCCTAACAATCTGGTTTTCTGCAGACTGTCTGGAAGCAAAGCTGTAATATTTTTCTAGGTAATCCCTAGGGTTAAAATGTCTCAGATAGGTGTCCTTGGTGGTGAAGCCAGATTCCATAGTGCCTCACAGTTGTGCCTCAGATCCACTGACCTCCTGCCCTCTCCTTCAAAAGTCAGGGAGTCGGTCTGCAGAATATCTTCTCCTGAGGCTCAGGCCACCAGTCTTCCCACAATTCAGCCCTTCTCCTTAGAGACAGATGTTTGGTTAAACTCTAACTGAGGGAAGCCTACCAAAAGATGTTCTAGCTGTTTTAGATTATGACATTCCTAAGTTATGAAATTCCTAAGTTTTGAAATTTCTGGAGAAGGGAACTGAGGAGGAGGGAGAGTGGCAGGGCAGGGTCATGAGCTGCATGCAACGCTTGGCCAAGGGTTTAAGGTCAGTCACAAAGTATTGCTGATTGGAGGAATCATTAGGCTAGTACGTTCATAGAAGAGCTCCTCGGTTCAGAGAGATGGGTCATTTCCCAAAAGTACCATCGTTCTTCTTCTTGCAATGTTTCTTCCAGGAAATGGAATTATAAGAAATGTTCTAAATTTACAACTATAGAGAAAGAAGAGAAAAGAGGAGACAGACAAGGGTAGGAAATGGGTTCAGGGCTGAGGAATGTTGGCCAAAGAAGGAATCTCAAATGAGGTCTTCATAGAGTCAGGGCAGGAGAATTTTTTCAAACCTGAAAGAGCTTTCTCAAAGTGGAGACACAACCCTCTAATCCCTCCCCTACACTTTATACCCTCTCCATCCCTGGACCATACCTCTGCAACTTCACCTACCACCTGCCATTTCTAAGCATCTAGCAAGCACCCCAACTTTCCCAAAATCCTGACTGTTTTTTCAAAGTGTACTTCAAGTCCTCAACTTCATATAAGAATTCCTTACATTCACTTTTCTGAACTCATATTGTCCTTAGAACTAGTCCCATGCAGCCAAACATTTGATTTCGTGGTAACATATATGTGCTCCTTTTTGTGTCAGTTTTGTTTCGTAATGTGACTATTACATGTATAATAAACCAATTAAATCATAAACTCTTTTAGAGTAAAGCCCACGGTCAATCTTCTTTATATATCCTATTGTACATAAAGGGGAGTGGGTACCTAGTAGATATCCAAAACATTGTTGTTTATTGTCATATTGCATCTTGGCTGAGTTGTTGTTGTTAGCAACAACATGAACAACACAGAACAAAATGCTGCCTGTCTTGCATCAACCTTATGATCATTGCTACATTTGAGCCCATTGCTGCTGCCACTGTGTGTCAGTCCATCTCACTGGATTCTTCCTCTTTTTCTTTGATGCTCTGCTTTACCAAACATGGCATCCTTCTCCAAGGACTGGTCCCTCCTGACAATATGTTCAAAGTAAGAGATACAAAGTCTGTCAATCCTGGCTTTTAAGGAGCACTCTGGCTGTACTTCCTCCAACCCAGATTGGTTTGTTCTTTTGGCAGTCCATGGGACTTTCAATATTCTCCTCCAACACGATAACTCAAATGCATCAATTCTTCTACGGTCTTCCTTATTCACTGTCCAACTTTTGCATGCATATAAGGTTACTGAAAATATCATGGCTTAACTCAGGCATACCTTACTCCTCAAACTGACATCTTTGCTCTTCAACATTTTAAAAAGGTCTGATACAGCAGATTTGCCTAGTACAATGGGGAACTTGATTTCTTGACTGCTGCTTCCATGAGTGTTGATGGTTGATACCGGCAAAATGAAGTCTTTGACAACTTCAAACTTTTCTCCATTTATGTGGATGTTGTTTATTGGTCAAGTGGTGACGGTTTTTGTTTTCTTTACATTGAGGGGCAACCTATACTGAAGACTATGATCTTTGCTCTTCATCAGTAAGTATTTTAAATCTTCTTTGCTTTCAGCAAGCAAAGTTGTGTCATCTGCATGTTGCAGGTTGTTAATGAGTCTTCCTCCAATCTTATGTTACGTTTATCTTCATATAATCCAGATTCTAGGATTATTTGCTCAGCATACAGATTGAATAAGTATGGTGAAAGAATGCAACCCTAGCACACACCTTTCCTAAGTTTAAACCATTCAGTGTTCCCTTGTTCTGTTTGAACTACTGTCTCTTGTCTATGTTCAGGTTCTTCATGAGCACAGTTAAGTGTTCCAGAATACTCATACTTGGTAATATTGACCATAGCTTGTCATGATCCATACAATCAACAGCCTTTGCATATTCAATAAAGCATAGGTAAACATCCTTCTTGTATTCTCTGCTTTTAGCCAAGCTCAATCTGAAGTCAGCAGTGATCTCCCTCATTCCACATCCTCTTTTGAAACTGACTTGAACCTCTGGAAGCTCTCTGTCAATGTATGGCTGCAACCGTTTTTGAATTATCTTTAGTAAAATTTTACTTGCATGTGTTATTAATGATATTGTCTGATGATTTCTGAATATCATTGGGTCACCTCTTTTTGGAATGGGCACAAATATAGATCTCTTCCAGTCAGTTGGCCAGATAGTTGTCTTCCAAATTTCTTGGCATAGATGAGTGAGTGCCTCCAGTGTTGCATCAGTTTGTTGACAGATTTCAATTTGTATTCCATCACTTCCAGCACCTAGTTCTTTGTCGATGCCTTCAATGCACCTTGGACTTCTTTCAGTACCATTGACTCATGATCATATGCAACCTCTTGAAATGGTTGAACATCGACCATTTCTTTTTGGTACCGTGACTCTGTGTATTCCTTACATCTTCTTTTGATGCTTTCTGCACCATTCAGTGTTTTGCTCATTGTTGTTGTTAAGTACCATCGAGTCAATTTCAACCCATAGCGACCCTTTGCCCATAGAACCCCTCAATATTGTCAGTGAGGCAGGCCCTCAAATTTCAGCATGTGTTCAATATTCCATGGTTGATGACTTAATAAGGATTCATTTGGCTACGAGGCACCAAAATGGATTAACGTAATCTCATACCAAATAGATGAGAATATAACAGAAACAAATTACAGGTATATAACTAGGTCTCATGAACACTTCAAAAAACCATTAGGCAAATAATTTCTTCCTCTTCTTTCTCTTGTTCTGTCTCTGTTTCCTTAGCCCTCATTGTACTACATGTGGCTCCAGGATGACAATTATAAATGGTGGCCCTACACCAGAACTTATAGAACCTTCTAGATCATCTACTCACAGTTGACTGACTAGGTCTATGTACCCAAATCCCAATTCCTTTCAGAGACAATCAACCTAATCTAGACTGGGGCAGTCATTTATCTGACAAGTCAATGCTGATGTAAGGAATGAAGGAGATCTGATTGGTATTTTCATTGCCCATTGCAGGAGGTAAAATGCAACTGGCAGATTTTCTCAGATTACTGCAACTCTTGGATCTCCAAAAGCCCAATCACAGATTTGAAGGAAGTAGAAGCAAAGTCAGGTATCTATGTGAGTGGTCCTGCTGCTACAATACTGACATGACCTGCTTCTCCTATGAGCCCTGATAATACACTACAGAGAATTTAAAGTCTAAAGACAACACTTGCTGTCCCAGTTTGTCAACATGAACTTGCTTGATACTAGGCAGTCAGAAAAACTAACTTTGAAGACTTGGTGTGTAAAATAGAGATAAAATATCTCTTCTAAGCACAGTCCAGAGTCCTGATGTGGTGCTGTGGGATAAAGCACTGGATCGTAAGGTTGGTTTGAATCTTATAAGGTTGGCAGTCCAAACCTACCAGCTGCTCCTCAGAAGTCCTATACAAGGTCACTATGAGTCAGAACTGACTTGACGGCACTTCACAACAACAAGCATAATCCAAAATATTGAGAAATTTAAAGGATCCTTCCTATAAATTTAATTATTACCTTGTGAAATGACCCTATTCCCAACCATGGATCAATTTACCAAGGAGATTAAGAAATAGTGATCATATATAATCCACAAACACAGTGTTCTGTATCCTACTTTTGTTAATAGAAACTGGGATCTTAAAAGCTTATGAGTGGCAATCTAAGTTATTACTACCGGTCTCTTTCTATGAGGAGGAAAGTAGAGTGATGAAAATTGAAGACAATGGGAATCAATCAGTCCAACGGACTAATAGAACGTCAGACACCGTGACTGACCCTGAGATCAGAAGAACTAGTTGGTCCCAGCTAACACCACCAACTATTCCAAAAGGAATCACATTAGAAAGTCTTGGATAGAGGTGGGGAAATGTGGAACAAAGTTCTAAAATCCAAAAAAGACAAGGCTTACTGGTCAGAAAGAGGCTGGAGGAATGCAAGACTATGGCCTTTGGTCACCCTTCCAGTCTACAACTGAACACATCATCTTGGCCTCATTTTCAGCCAATTAGTAGATAGATAACAAGGGGTCAGCAAGACTACTGAGGTATGCACACCATGGAATGGTCAACTATTCAAGGTCAAAAGGGCAGAAGTTACCCACAGACACAATTCAGAAAGATTGGGAAACAAGAAGAAATGAAAACAGGAATCACAGGGAGGAAGTGAGATAAAAGTGAGATGTCACATTGAGGGCTTGCAATGATTGAAATTAAGTGAAGCATGTGATTTAGTGAAAGTAAAATTGATGATCTGCTCTGTAAATCTTAACTGAAGTCACAATAAAGAGGTGTTTGTTGTTGTTGTTTTAATGATTATATAGTTTATTCATTGGAGAAAGATGTAATCTGCCTTGATAAAGACGACAACCTTGGAAACCCTGTGGAGCAGCTCTACTCTGTCCTAGAGGGTTGCTATGGGTTGGAGTTGAGTCCAGAACAGTTTTTTTAGGGACAGTTTATGTGTGATCTTGATATTGGAGTGCCTTTTGTCCTTATCCTGTCACTAGTTTCCCCCACCTTTCCCAAAAGCTCTCAAGATGTATGGTCAGAACCCAGTTTCACTGAAGATAGAAATCTCCCTCACAATGGTCCTCTGTTATAATTTTGAATATACAAATGTACGTATGAAGGAAGAAATAGAGAAAGAAGGAAAGAGGGGAGGAGGAGGAAGAAGGTATATCAGATCCAAGTAGCCTGGGAATTTGGTCCACTGGTAGTTGTTTTTCCCGTGTGGTT